CTGCAGCCCTAGGCAGGACTATTAATTCTGGGGGCCCAAGGAAGAAAACTAATGGAGTCCCTGGTCCACAAGCTTCCCCCTTTCCTTCTCAGCTCCTGCACTGTGAGGAGCCACGTGCAAGGAAGTAGACAGCTCAGCTCTTGCGCCCAAGTTCCACTCACAACCTTCCTCCATCCTCCCACCACACAACCATCTTTTGGCCACCCAGACCTTGAGCTGTGCGCTTGGGGACAGGGGGCCCCCAGGAGGATGGGCCGTTGAAAAGGCCCACAAAGAACCTAAAAGCTGGGAGTGGGTGGTCCTCATTACCAAAGTAGGGCTTAACAGGGAGAGCCCAGCTAAGGGTACATTCCTTTAAACCCACCAACTCTTTGCCTTTGGGGAGCTTAGGGCCCCAAGGTAGGATCCCAACTGCCTCGCTCTAAGGCTGGCTTGGGAGTAGGAGGAGCAGGTGGGGGCACTTAGCAGCTTTCTCGCCCCCCACCCAGCCCCCAAAAGAGCCCTCAAGAGAAACCACCTGCTCCTGCTGTGTGTGTTTTCACGGTGGGGTGCGGGGCGGGGGCAGGGCAACTCACCGGATTCCCAGTGTGGTCTGGATGAGGGTGGTGATGCCCACGCAGGTGAAGATCGTCCCGATGAGCTGGCTGACCATGTGCTGGTCCCGGCCCACACACAGTGCCTCAGCCAGGAGGAAGGGCACAGCAATGGTGCCACTGAAGCATGTCAAGTAATGCTAGGTGCAGGGAGAGTGCGTGAGGCAGCTCCCTGGAAACCAGGGAGACCCCAGTGATCCTCACACCTGCCTCAGGGGGCCTGAACCCACACTGCCCCTGGCAAGGAGCTCACCCGGGTGAGCTCACTCATACAGGGATTCCCAGAGAGCTACCGTTCACCTCTCTCTTTGGGGTACTAATTCACCCCCAAATATTCTGTGGCTTCTGTGGAGTGGGTCCTCTCCCCTGTGACTGACATTCTGCCTGGCAGGTGACACATATTCCCAGGGAAGATCTTTCAGGCCCCATCAGAAACCCCCTCCCCATGCCAGCTTGGGACAGTCACAGCTGTTGACCTTAAGTTTCTCTTTCTGTTGCCCAAGATAAACTTGCCAAGTTTATCTTGCCAAGGAAGCGGGCTAGGATCCTGGGAAGCATGCAGAATGGGGGTGGGGAGGCCCTGTGGGGAAACCCACCTGGAAGCCCAGCAGAATACACAGGTACCAGGGTGGCACATCCTCGATCTTGTACAACATGTCAAACTTGGGCTCTCTGGGCAGGGACTCCGTGGGATCCCTCTCGGAGTTCCCTGCAGAGCCCAGGGACTCATGCTAGGGCAGCAGAGAGAAGTAACTCAGGGTGGAGTGAAAGGGACCAGCCAGGTTCATGCTGCCCCAAAATCAATCAGATGGCCTGAGTGGCCCATCAGATGCTCAGTACAGCGTTCAAGCCCCACCCTCCCTCACAGTTCATCCACCCAGCTGTCTCTCAGCCTGACTACCCCTGGCTCCCTCCTCACATTCCTTTGTGCAGGGATAAGTCCTCTGTGCTGGTTCCTGGAGGCCTTGGGACCAGAGCATTCCAGCCAAGGGAATGGGCCCCTAAGTCAGCAGGCCCCAACAGCCAACAAGAGAGGGGGCAAGAGGGCTGAAGTCCGTTAACAGGTCCCACCCTTGCCACTGGAAGGTCTTTGGGGTTGCTCTGGGTGTGGGGTGGGTGGTCCTTGCTGGCCCTCAAGCTGGAGTCAGCCCATCTCAAAGCTGATGACTCCTACACCTTCACTGCCCCCCCACCCCATCCCCCAACTACTACTTTCAGCTTGGGATAGTCACTCTCAATCAAGTTCATCAGAACTTGTGTCTCTGCCTTCCCAGGGGGAAGGCACGAGCAGGCCCTCTAGCCCCCACCCAACCCTGCCCCCACCCAGCTCCCACCCATTCCCCAGCACCTGTGTCCGGCCCTCCAGGTTCTCCTGGGCCCTCATCTTTGGGGCACAGCTGTGAGCAGTTCCTGAGGAAAAGAGGGGATGGCTTTACAAAGGCCAAGGAGGACTTTAGTCCACACATCAGACATTGTTCGAAGTAAATCTGTAACCAGACTCCCAGCTCTGATTGCGAAAGGCAGACCTGAGCAGAGATAAAGTATTAACTCCAGCCCTAGTGGTAAAGGCCACCCAATCCTCGGTCACCATTTCTCTCCTGAGCATGTGCCCTTCCCTGCCAGCACCTGAGCCTGGGCGTGGGACCTGTTGTTTCCAAGAGAGTGCCGGGGTGCAGATGAGGAGCGGACAGTTCACCAAGCCCCAGGTGACAGGGAAGAGAATGGTAGTAACCTTAATAAGTCACACTCTGAATGAGACTCTTCCCCACTTTTTAATAACAAGTTAATGATTATCATCATCAAAATCACGTTTCTTAATGAGGAATGACTGCCTGCCAAATGTATTCCCAGGTTGAACTCCAGGCACTGGGCGACGGTAAGCTCTTTTACTGCTGAGGAAACAGATCTCGGGAGATGTGATCTGACCGAGGTCACATAAGTAGCAAGATTTTAGAACATCATTCCTAAAACTCAGGTTAATCTGAACTCCTGAGTTCATGCTATAAATCAGCCACTGGATTCAGAAAAGGGCTGCCTTTCCCATATGGCCACATACCCCTCAGTGTCACAGAGGCACAAAACAGATGGGCCACTGGAGGAGAAGCTGCCCAGGCTGGCCCAGCCTTGTCTGTTCCCCGTGTCAGGATGATTCCCTCCCCACCCTCCCAAGTCAGGACTGGCTGCCTAACCTATAGGACCCAGTGCAAAACAAAAATTTGGGGCCCCCATTCCAAAAGTATTACGAATTTTTTTTTTTTTAGTATTATTAATTTTGATACAGCAGAGTATTAAACCAAATCAAACCAAACCTTTCTAAGCACTGGGCCCCATGTGAGTGCCTGTCCCACGGCCGCTGAAGCCTGCCCTGGACTCAGCCTGTCTTGTCCTCCTGGCAGTCCCACTGGCCTGGCCGTGGGGGCCAGAGCTGGCTGAAGGGACTTGGGGAGGGTCTGAGGAGCTGGAGCCCCTCAGCTGGTGAGGATTGGGCCTAAGGTTCCTGGTTCTGCTCCCCACTGTGCTGCCCCAGGTCCAGCCCCCCAGGGCCCACCTACTTCTGGGTTGTTGGGCCCACGGCCAGGCGCTGCTCCACAGGCCCTCAGGCAGCCGGGCTCTCCAGCTGGGCAGCAGCTTCATGCTACAGCTGTGGATTCGTCCGTCTGTCCAGCCTTCAACTCTTCCCCTAGCTCCTGCTGCCTATCGTCTGCTTAGCTCCTGCTCTGCTTCCTTGGCTCCTGCTCCCAGGTGTCCCAAAGTTGTCTGACCAGTTCGAAGCTTTGAAACTGCTCCTTAGCATTTCCTCTCCACCTCTCTCCACCCCAGTACTCCCCAGGGGCCTGTGGAGGCAGAGCCCCACCCCTTACACTTAAGTGCACAGTCCCATGGACATTCAATTCAACATAAGCCCATACCATCCACATAGAGACGAGGCAGCAACACTGCACATGGTTTCAGATACACAAACAAATGGACCACAGCACCCAGACTGACCTACCGAGTGTGTCTAAATCCCTCCATATAACACAGAGCCACACAGGTCCGTGTCACAGGCTCCCATCTCCACACCCGATACTACTGACAGCTCAGCAGGCTCCATGGGCCCTGGCTCTCTTCCTGATGACAAGGGGTTCTCTCCTGGGGTGAAGGTCAGGGAGGAGGGGCCTCCGGCAGAGAGGGAGCAGGTAATGGAATGAAGGAGGCCAGGCTGCTGTACAGCTCACAGACATTGGAGGGGTTAGGGCCTGCCTGGAGCACTCCTATTTTTCTAGCAATGATCTGCCTCTACCCCCAAATCTGAATCCCCTAGCTCAGGCTAGGACTTGGCCTGAGTGCCTCTTTTCTTTTTTCTTTGAGAGAGAGAGAGCTCACACACTCGCAAGTTTTGGGGGAGGCAGAGGGAGAGGGAGGGGGAGAGAATCTTAAGCAGACTCCACCCTCAGCGCCAAGTCTGTCTTGGGGCTCAATCTCACAACCCCAAGATCATAACCTGAGCCTAGATCAAGAGTCGGATGCTTAACTGACGGAGCCACCCAGGTGCCCCCGTTTTCATTTTCTAAGCCTCAGTTTCAGTGTCTGTCAGCTGAGGATTAGAGTGTCTACTCTGTCCACCTGCCAGGGCTTCAGCAGATCAGGGAGATAATAAGGAAGCGACAAGTTACAGCGTGGACTGCCCACAGCTTCCCATTCTCAGGCAGGGCCTAGGTGGGGTGCTTTCCTCCATTGCTAAGGAAAGGTCCCAGGTCAAAAGAATTTCTGGGGAGAGCAGGACTGAGAGCCAAGATACTGAATCCAGCTCCTTTCAGGAACCCTGCCGTGCCCAGTCCCAGGCAGACACCTAGGGCCTAACCCTGCCAGCTGGGGTCAGAGGTAGAATCCAGGAATTGAGCGGCTGCTGGGAATAGACCCAGTTAGACTAGTGTTCAGGGAGGGGCCCAGAGAGCATGTAGTGGCTGAGTAGGCAAGTCTATAAGGTAGGCTTGGTTTTTCTTTTCTTTCTTGATGGATTTGGGATTTCACCATTCATGTAATTAGTCCTATATGCCTTTGACAGCTCGCTACCATTTCCAGCCATGACACATCTCACCTACCTCTAGATTGTGGGGAAGTGTATTTGGCCCTCTCTAGGTACAACATCAGCAGAAAAGCCAATGTCTGTCTTCCCAGCTCCACAAGCACCTTTTTTTCTTTTTTAGGATTTTGTTTATTTATTCGACAGACAGAGATCACAAGTAGGCAGAGAGGCAGGCAGAGAGAGAGGAAGGGAAGCAGGCTCCCTGCTGAGCAGAGAACCCAATGTAGGACTCGATCCCAGGACCCTGGGAAGATGACCTGAGCCGAAGGCAGAGGCTTCAACCTGCTGAGCCACCCAGGCACCCCCACCACAAGATGAAGAGAGAAGAAATCAAGACATCAAGGTCACTGGGTTTTATTCGAGTCCAGAGGGTAAGGCCTTCCCCCCACCCCACCCCCGACACACACACATGGCCCCCATGTCCTGAAGCTGGAGGAGGGAGGGGCCATGGCAGCACAGAAAAGCATGGCCTTCCTGCCCTCTAGGGCAGCCTGCTGAAAAGAGTGGAGCAGATCTAGAGGATGCCCCAGCTGTCTTCAGGGGCTGACCAGGAAGGGGAAGGAGTCAGACTAGAGCTCTGTCCTTGTAATAGTCGCCTCTTCCGAGCAGGCCCCTTCGGGTCCTCCACACAGCAATGTCTCCAGAGCCCCTCGGCCTTGTTGGTGGGCTTCATAGATCTGGTCTTCTCCAAACTCCCCCAGGTAGTGCAAACATGTCGTGGAGAGCCTAAGGGAGCCCGACAGAAACCTCAGACCCTGCCTGCCCCTCAGAGGGGTGATCAAGGTTCCAAGGTCTCCATCCCACCCCCACACTCTGTCATCACCTGGTCGGCCAGGGGCCCCCTGTGATCATCACACTGATGGTTGGCTCTGGCCCCTTGCTGAGTCCTGGGCCTGTGAGACGTTTCACCTGGTTCACTTCTCGGATCCCATAGCTGGAAGCAGCAGGAAGGAGAGGGATACAGTATTAGTGGGAGCCCTGCCAGCAAGGGATACAACTCCACATGAAACTGGGCACATGGGGCATTTGCTGAATTCAGAGCCCAGATTCTGATCCTCCCTGAGGGAAAACTGAGAACCAGAGAGAGTCCCTGGTGGAAGGTCCCACAGCAACATTGTCCCCTGGCCACGTAGCATTCTGCTTGCCCTCAGCTCCAGACCTCAGACTTCATCCCAGCCAGCTCCCTACCCTGGACTTTATAAAGCCTTAGTGGAGTGTGTGTCTGGTGTGAGTGGGAGAGTGGGAACATCTACCCATCAGCTCTACCCCTAGAGGAGGGTGGTAGGGGCTAGATTCTTGACTCACCCCTGCCAGGTCTGGGTGCAGCTCTGGTCCAGGACGTCTGTGTATACAGACTCGCTCAGCTTCCGCCGCTGCCCCCCTGAGTCTGGGGTATGAAGCTTGGCCTCTGCCTTTGCCAAATATTGCCACATCTAGAACAAGGAGGGGCTGAGAACAAAGGCTCCAGGACTGCTCAATGGCAGGGGAGGGTCAGACAGGAGCCTGTGTCTCCAGGAGAGAGTGAGGTAGCAAGGGAGAGTTTTGGCCTTCCCCCAGGTTCTGAAAGTTGGGACTGGGTCTGCTAAAGTAGGATCCACTTCCCTGAGATGGGGTGGGTGGGTAGGAAACGCTGCGGTGGGAAGTTAGGCCTAAGTACTGGGGCTCCTTCCCCAGGGCACACCTGCCCATCAGCCATGCTATTTTAAACCATAAGAACAAGGAAAGGAAAAAAAAAAAAAACAAAAACAGAAAACCAGAGTCTTCAACGTCACGTGTACTCATAGCCTTCCCTCCCCCAACAGAGGTAGTCAGGCATGCTTGATGGGTTTCTTTGTGAACTCAAGACACACTCATGCATGTATTCATGCGCTCAACCCATGTGCACATGTGTACATACACACTCGTGCTCTCCAGCCAGGGAAGGGGTCCAGACCCAAGGATAAGCCCGGAAAGGGAGGAGTCAGAGAGGACAAGCAAGCGACTCCTGGGGTCTCAAGGTACTGTGGGATGTCCCATATTATTTGCTCTCTGTTGGGCTGAGAGATGGGTAAACTGAGGCATGGAGGTTTGGGTGACGTGCAGTTGGCAATGTCATGGAAAGCTGAGTCCAACTCAGGGCCCGGGGTAGGGGTTTGGAAATCAAAGGCCAGTGGTAGGATCAGAGGTAGATGGAGGGGCCTGGCTTCAGGAGGGACCTGGACAGGGTCCAGGGAACTGCAGGGGTAGGTACTTACCTGGTAGACCACTGCCCTGCAGGCATCACAGCGCAGGTGAGCAGGCATGTGAGCTGAGTACTTCTCCTCATCGTCTAGCTGTGGGGCCGTGGCTGTGAGTGGGGCCCTGTCCCCAAAGCCCCCTGGGATGGCCCAGGCTCCCAGCAGCAGTATCAGCGGCAGAGACAGCATCATGGTCAGCGGAGCTGGCTCAGTGAGCCTGGGCTACGGTTGGGGCGCAGGTGTGTGTGTGCCTGTGTGCAGTGGGGGCCACCCCGGAAAGCCTAACCCAGACCAATGAGGAACCAACACCTCACCCTTCCCACCTCTTCCTTCCCCCAGGGCCCTAGAGATGCCACGTGTACACCTCCTCTACTGGGATCCCCGCTGCCACCAACTCAGCCCCATTTTCCGGTGACATAAGGAGGGCGGCTGGGCCTGGGCCAGGACACATGGCGGGTTGATCCCTCCCATGTCCTGGGATCTGGCCACTCGGTGGGCGCTGTACTGAGTACCAAGGGGAGAGGTGGTGTGTTAGTGTCAATTTTATGAGCACATGGAGGCTCAGAGAGAAGTGATGAATCCAAGACCATACAGCTTAGAAGGGCCATACTGAAGTTAGAACCTGAGCCTGACTGACCCCAAAGCCCACTGGCCACCCAGCCACCAGGGAGAATGAGGTCTCGGGCGTGGTTGCCAGCCTAGGTCTCTCTCCTGGGAGGCAAGTTTGCAGACTCAAGGATGCCATGATTCATGAAAGACATACAGGGCCCCTTTCCTGGGCAACTAGGGCCCCCTCCACCCAGGCCATACCCAGGCATGGAAGAGCGTCACAGGGGGTGTCAGAGGTCGCAGCAGGAAGTCAGAAATCAGACAACTTACACCAGCTGTTCCAAGGATCATGGCTCATTGGGTCAGTGATTTATTGCACACGGGATGAGGGGAGGGGAGCAGGAGGGACGCCGGGCCCTCCGTGCCATCAGAACCAACATCTCTGGCCATGAGAAGTTGTTCAGGTTTATTCTGATTCACAGCTTCCCAGTCAGCTTCCAGCCCCAGGCAGGGAGGCGGAACTTCCTGGGACCAAGACCGCCCAGAGGCCTAGAATTTAGGTAAGGCATCAATCTCCATCCCTAACAACTGCTTCTAATGGGAACTGTTCTTCCCCAAACTCATCACATCACATATCAGTTCAACAAGGCCCCACCACTTCAAGCTCAGAACTACACACAGACCCCCCCATCCCACCCGCAGAGCACCCCCTACCCCATGCATCTCTCTCAGCACTCCTCAGAGGCTCCAGCAATCTCAATGCAATTAGAACACAGGCTCTGGGTTCTGTTCCTTCCTTTCTGTGACCAGCCTCCCAATCCAGGCCTTCTCTGGGCACAGCCGCCAATCTGTTACCAAGGGAGTAGAACCAGCTGAGGGCTCCAAGTCTCTCTGCCCTGCTCCCCACCCCCATGGCATCCTTTCTGCTGCCCTAGCCCTAACCCACCCTCCACTACACCCAGAGGGGTCGAGAGGCTTAACCATCCTTCCTGCTTGTAAGTCCTTCCTGATGATTCATTTCATCTGTCCCCCACCCTGGGTGGGAATGGCTTAAACCTCCATTCTTGGCCCCAGGATGCACCCACTCAGCTCTGAGGGCTTAGAGTGGCCAAGTCAGATGCTGAGGTTGAGGGGAGGATTAGAAGTGGGGCTCCCAGCTGGAGACTACCACTGCCTCCCCACTCAAGCCCCGTCCCCAGGCTGACCCTCTACAGCCCCTTCCATATGACATCCCTGCTCCATCTCCACTTGCCGTCCCCGAAGCTCCCTTTCTCAGATCCAGCCTGGCCTGGGGGCTGTACTGGCCACTTTCCCACACAGCCTCCCAGGCCAAGGCTCAGAGCCTCTTTCAAACAATAACAGAGTTGCTAGTCACAGTCCTCCCTCCATCCCACTAGCGCTCACCGGCCTGTTCCTCCTCAGCTGGGTCCACCTTCAGGGAGGGACAGACAGCTCACCACCTCCGTGGGCAGCCCCATCCTCTGCTGAGCCTCTTTCTTGTTGCCCTCAATGAACTCCCAACACGCCCTCAAGTCAGCTCCTAGGAACAACTCCTAAGAAGACTCACTTTCACACACACACACACACACACACACACACACACACACACCACACTCTGGGAATGCCTGGGAAAAGAGGATACCATTTTGTTGGAGGAGGAAGTAGGCAACCACTTTCTAAGTCCCAGCTCCATCAGTCCCAAAGTCTGATACATTGTCTGAAGGTAACTTCCAGTGTGAAGACGGGTCGGGAAGGGTAAAAGAGAGAGAGGTGATAGAAGGAACGGTGGGTAGGGGACTGGATGCTGGAACCTCCAAGGCCATCAAACAGGCCCCAACACCATGAGGATCAGGCCCTGAGGCCTCACACGGGGAACAAAGACCCCTTGCCGGGTTGGGCTGAACCTGAACTGTTGGGCGGAGCACAGAGGAGCAGAGGAGGTGCAGGGCTGGGGGTTCCACTCACGGGCAGATAGTACATCCCGTCCAGGGGCCCCGCCTCGGAAATCCAGGGTACTTGGGGGCCGCTGAAGGCCGGTGGGCCAGGGGAAGGCGGGACTGAGAGTCCCGAGAGAGGCCCATAGGCGGGCGGGTAGAGGCCAGAACCCAGGGCCAGCGGGGTGTAGACGCGGCGGGGTGGTCCCGGCGGCGACGGCGGCAGCAGAACCTCTACGTATTGCCCGCTTTCGGGGTCGAAGAGCATCCGCAGCCGAGGCTGCCGCGGCGCCTCCACAAAGTAATAGCGGCCGCTCTCGGGGTCCACTAGGACCTTCCCCGCGTACGCGGTCCCCGGTGGCCTGCGCGCCCCCTGGAAGGGGCCTTCCGGGGACCGGTCCATTGGAGGCGCCGAGGCAGCACGGGGCTGGGTCGGGGCTGTCCTGCCAGCCGACACCTGGGATTCCCGCGGGAGAACCGACTGGACGGCAGTCGCGGGCTCGGGGGCTCCAGGGGGCGCCTCCAGTTTGGGTGCGATCCCAGGGCTAGAGCTAGGGTGCGCCTGAAGGGAGTCGGAGCAAGGTGGTCTGGGTGGTTGGGGCCCGGCTGGCCCTAAGGGCGACTGCTGGGGTGAAGCGCGAGCGCCGCCTAGAGGGCTGGTCCGCCCCTCGCCGTCCGGGACCAGGCGCTGGGCTTCGGCATCGCGGTTCTCTCTGCCAGCACCGCGCACCATAACTCCCCCGGTTCCCTCGGGCCGGCGGCCCAAAACCAGTGCACCAGGCAGGCGGATCTCAGTGCGCGCGAAGGGTTTTGCCGTGCTGTTCTCTGCTCTCCGCCTCAGGACCCCGTTGGGCTGCGAAGCGTCCCGGGGCACTGTGTCAGTTGGCGGCTCTGGGGGCTCGTAGGGGTGCGTCACGACCGGAAGAAAGTCCTTGAGATACACAGAAGTGTAGTGAGCTGGGCCTGGGGACCCCAGCGCCTCGAACTCCTGTGTCTTGGGTGCGCCGCCCTCCTCCCCGCGGGGGTCCGTAGGAGGGGCAGGCAGCCCCAAAGCCGGGGTTCCGGCGGGGAAGCTGGGCGCGTACGTGGTCTTCACCATCTTGCGCACGTCTCGGGGCCGCGGGATGGCCACGCGCGGCCGACCCGAGGCGGCTTCTCCAGGGCCCAAGGCTTCCTGGCGCACATCGGCCTCCAGGGTGCCCACCGGGCGACTGAGGGGCAGCTCAGGTGCAGCCGCTTCTGGCGACTGCTGACTGCCTTGGAAGGCAAGATCCCGCATCTCCCGCGTGGATGGACTTAGCGCCTCTGTTAGCTCGGGAGTCCTGTGTGCGGACGGCCTAGGCAGCTCCAGCTCCTCCTGTCCTACCCCGTTCAGAGTTTCCGACGTAGATACCATCGATGAGCCCTGCAGTGTGCGATCCCACGTCTCTTGGGGAGCTGGGTTCCACGTTCCATTAATACGATTTGGAGCCTTCCATGAGGACAGGGCCGGCGGGGACGGGTTTCTACAGCTCTCTGCCGTATAACTAACTGTCGGTTCCGGAACCTCCGATAGGGAAGCTTCGGGGGATGGGCTTCTTGTCCTGGCAACACCGTGATTCCACTGGGAAAGGGTAGGTGGGGAAGGGCTTCTGCTGACCGTTTCCTCGACAGCGGGATCCTGATTTCCCCATGCAGAGGATGCCTCAGGGAACGACGGGCTACTTACCCTCCGAAGAGCCCGATTCCATGGGAGCAGATTCTGGGGAGACGGGCAGAGTGGGCCCCGTAAAGTTCCATTTGGAGCCTGCCACAGCGGGGACGAGCTCCTTGGCCTGCCAGCCTTACTCGGAACTTCCTGGGGGGCTGTAGACTCGAAAGTCGGACTCTGTGCTCTCAGGACGGTTCTATCCGGAGTTTCCGGAGGGAACCGAGTCTTGAGTTCCTGACTGTGCGCCTCTTGAGTCTTCTCCCCTGACTTCAGGAAGATGCTGGAACTAACCGGACCCAGCGGCTCGGTCCCTGGCGCGGGTTTGTCGCGCCGAATCGCGCGCTCTCGGAGGCTGGGCCACGGCCGTGGTGCCCTGGTGGGGGCTGAACTATAGTGCACGCGGGGTGGCCGAGAACTGGCCTCCTCCAGGACTCTTCGGGCAATGCGGTCCGTTTCCCGGGTCGCACACTCTGGCCGCCCCGTGGGCCCGAAGGTGGCGCTGCTCGGGACAGGGGCCGCAGGGTTCAGTTTTCTGGCCAGTGCTGTCTGCACTAGGCCGGTGGCTGCCTGCAGGCGACCCAGCGACTCGTCCAGCGAGCCAGTGCGCAGAAGCAGTCGGGGGCGCGGCGCTCCCGCCTCCCGCGGGGGACTCCGGGGCCGGGGGCGCAGCTCGATCTGACGCTTGGGCACCGTCCGGGTCCTGGCGGGCGCGTCACGCTCCTCCAGCGCCACCTCCACACACTCGAACTGCGCTGGGGTCCCGGGACTCGGCCCGCGGGGCCGCAGCTCTAGGTAAGTGGCCCAGCGGGAGCCGCCGTCGGGGGCCTGAGGCGTCGCTGCGGCGGGAGCAGGAGTCGCAGGCCCGGGCGGAGAGAGGCTGCGGAAAGCCCGCGCGGTGAGTTGTTGCACCTCGCTATCCGCCGCGTCGGAGCGGCCGAACAAGGCCCGGGCGCCGAAGATGACTTCCATCTCCCCCGACGGCAACATGCGCAGCTGGGGCTGGGGTGGCGGCGGGCCGGAGCCCGGACCTAGCGGGAAACCCGAGCCGGGCCCGAGCTGCTGGCGGCTATTCTGGGCGCTGACGGACAGGCGAGGCTGTGTGCCCGCCCCCAGCGCAGGGCCCCCTCCGGGCCAGTTAGCCCGGCACCCTGCGTCCGGCCCAGCGTCCGGGGGCTCTGGAGAACCCGGAGCCGTGTGGTAGGAACCTGACGAGCCGGAGGAATCCTGACGCCGCGCGGGGGCTGCGGGCAGCTGCCCCGGGAGCCCAGGCAGGGCTGGCCGGGCGAGCGCGGTCAGCATGGTGGCGCCGGACGCCGCGCACTACCTCCCTCACGTTCTCCTCCGCTGGTGCCGCGGACGCCCGCACTGTCCCCGCCCCGCCCGCAGATGTCGTGGGGGTCACCGCGCCTTAAAGCGGCCGCGTCCCCTCTCGAATCGGTGGCGTCGCCAACGGGACAGCCTTGGCCCCTGGGCTTCACTTTTCTAACCTTCTCTTCTGGTGCGGGCCAGAGGCCTACGATGCCTATCCAGCCTCGGGCTGACAGGAAGGTGAGAGACCAGCGGGTGCCCGGTTGGAAGCCAGGAGCTAGGCCTGACTCTGCTCCTCACCGGCTCAGAGAGAGGCTGAGCAGGGACCTGCCTGAGGTCAAGCGTGTGCACCAGGGCTGTGGAACAGAATGTGAGCCAGGGGATGGGGACCAGACTTTTGAGTCAGGCGACTCATGTCTTCTGAGCAATTTCATCTTCCTCTTAGCCCCAGGTTTCCTGTCACTCCAGTGCTCCTCTTTTCCTTGGCCCTCTCAGCAGTTGTCCCAGTTAGAGTTCATAAGGGTACACTCACCACTTTCCTTGACCCATCACCCCACAATCTTTGATGGAGGAGCAATGCTTGGAGGGCTCCCCTAAATCCAAAAGTTGTGCTATTGCCTCTGGAAGGTGCAGTCCCTGACTGGACCCATTGCCTTTAGTGGGAACATACTGAAGGGGCTGGAGTGGATAGCTCTAGCTTTCACAGATGGCCTTGGCACCAAGAACAAGGGCTAGATGCTGATGTGGAGTCTCTTAGGAACTTTGGGGGTAGCTGTGGGCCCCTATCTAAAGCCCCTCTGAGGCAGAAAGAGCTCTATGGTCCCCCAGGCACTTGCGAGGCCCTCACTCCAGCCCCCACCACCTAAGAACCCACCCTGGGGACAGGAACTGGTGGGGAAGCAGCTATCAACTGTCACTGTCCTGGGATAATGACAATGGGCACCATTTGCCTTGAAACTTCTGGCTTCAGTGGTGCTATGATTCAGGCCCTAGCTGGCCTCCGAGCAAAAGCACCAGCACCTCCCCCTCTCCCATGCACTCACCCTCAAACTGACCCAGGTTCAGCTAGACTTGATAAATCTGACCCAGCATCCCAGTGGGTCCCCCTGCCTGGGTGTCACCCTGCTCACCTAGCCATCAGTGATGCCTTTTGACAGGATCAATGCTGCCCCTCATCTAGCCTGCATATGCAACTTTAGCAAGTCATAGCCCCTTCAGAGACTGTTTCCACATCTTAAAAATAGACATAGAATTGTCCTTTTCCCTTCCTTCCCCTTGTGAAGAGTTGAGCCTCTGTTTGGGGGAAGTATAAGAGGGTACAAGTATGATTCACAGGTAGAACAGTCTTGTTATATGATGGGAATGGATTTCCCAAATTCATTGTGGTCCTGGAACCCACTGTCTTTGATGTCTCTGATCAGGGCTTCTCTCTTTCTCTGTCTCTCTCTGTCACACACACACACATACACACACACACACACACACACACACAGCCCTTCCTGCTCTATAGCCAAGTTGGGAGAGTTAAATTTACCAGGGCGCTGGGAGTGGGGTGGGGTGTTTACAGGTAACCAGGGGTAACCAGAGCTGTTTACATAGGGAGGGATTAAGTACCAAGAGTAGGAAGGACAGTGCCTATTAGACAACAAAGTAGTCCTCCCCTAGGCTACACCCCCCCACTTACCCTCTCTCTACTACCTAAGAGAGAGAGGGAAGTGGCAGGGGCTGGAGACTTGGGCAGCATCCTTTTCTAAGCTCAGGAGTGGCCTACAAGGCGGTGGTCCAAGCCCTGTCCCCCTCCAAGTCCCTGGTAACTTGATTTTCCCTCTGTCACAAAGGTCCTCCAGAAGGCAAGCAGGAAGGGAAAAAAAAGCGCCTTTCGCTTCTTCCCCTGTCTCTTCCCTGGGAATCAGGCCCCTGGTGAGGCCGGTGGTGGCAAGGGCCAGGACCCACAGGGATAGGAAGGATAGGGATGGGGACCCCCACAGCAGAGAAGTCAGAGGTCGGGCATTACAGCCAAAGAACAGGAAGGCGATGACCATTTTATTTTTCCCTGGGGCGCTGGTGGCTCCGGGCCTGAACCGTCCCTGAGGCTTTCTTATGCTTCTGGTCCAGTACTTGGGCCATGTAGTTCTCCTGCTGCTTCTGGATCCGGTAGTCAGACATGTGATTCCTGCAACGGAGCCGGCTGGGCATGGGCTGGGGGCAGTCTACGGTAGGGGCCAGAGACCTGGCTCCCCACTTCCATCAACAACCCCCAGCCTGGCCCAGACCCCTCACCTGAAGATCTGTTTCTGCTGGCTGATAACTTGCTGCAACTCCTTAATCTCATTCTCTTTGCCATTAAGTATATCTTCTTGCTTTATAATGTGAGACTCAATCTCTGTGGGGGAGAGAGGCAGGGAGGAGGGGTGGTTCCCATCCCACGGGCTCCTTCCTGAGATAGGCATTCATTCCCTTACAGGTTTTTTAAGAACTTGGATTCCCCCCACCCAGGGGTTCTCCACAAGTAGCTGCTAACACCTTAGTAAGAATGAGTTTATTAGGGAGTTTTGACAGGATGGTGGCTGAGGGGCACAATGTCTGATGAACATGTCAGTGACTTCACAGCTCTATTTCTGGACCAGGTGAGCCACATGAGGGCAGGCGGAGGCCCTTGCAGAGAGGTGGACAGCGCTGCCCATAGGTTGGAGGATGAATGGTTCCTATCCTTAACTCCTGCCAATCTTTACAGATATGACCACCTTGGCAAGATCCTTCCCAGTCTAAAAGTACAACCCCTCTCAATAGTTCCTATCCCTTTTGCCTGCTTTCTTTTTCTTCTTAGCTCCCATAGCTAACATACCATATATTTTACTTGTCTTCCCTACTGGGATATCTATGCACAAAATCCACAAGGATAAATATTTTTTAAATTTACTGTTTTAACCCTAAGGTCTAAAAGAGTACCTGGCACATAGAAGGTGCACAATAAATTTATTTGTGGAATGAATGAACAGGATATCATCTGGGGGTTTAGGACTTAGAAATATTACTTAGTTCAGTCATCTCAATCCCAGCAGACCTACTGAGTACTGAGGGCCAGTTGGATGCCCAGCCCTGTGCTAGGGCTCCAGAGGAGAAGATAGGGTCCCCACTCTCAAGGAGGCAGCTCCTGAGAGTTAAGACTCAGGAACTGATGAGAGAACAGAACAAGGCAATGTTTAAACAGTGTTAATATTGATGAGACAGCATTACCACTTTGGGCAAGTTGCCTCCTTTTCTAGAGCCATTTCCTCATCTGTAATGGGGACAGGGACGGCCCCTGTTCCACAAGGGCATGGGGAGCACCCAGGGAGAGAGTGGTGGCAAAGCTTACCCCCACATTAAGTGCTCATTAGATGCAAGGATGATTTTTGTGTCTTACATCAAAATTGAAAGAGGCTGTAGGGATCTGGAGGGCGCTTCATTTATATGAACTGTCCCTTGGGCAGCCCTGGAAAATTCTGATCCTCATAGGAAGAAAATACCATTGCCTTTATTTATTTTATTATTATTATTTTTAAAGATTTTATTTATTTATTTGACACAGAGAGAGAGAGATCACAAGTAGGCAGAGAGATAGACAGAGAGAGAGAGGGGAAAGCAGGCTCCCCATTGAGCAGAGAGCCTGATGTGGGGCTCGATCCCAGGACCCTGAGACCATGACCTGAGCTGAAGGCAGAGGCTTAACCCACTGAGCCACCCAGGTGCACCTACCATTGCCTTTAAAGACTGGATGAACATTAACTAGAACACAAACTCTAAAAATGCAGAAATGCTAAAGCATTTAAGGTTTCAAAGAAAAGATTTGGTAAAGAGTTAAGGCACAGCATAGAAAAGAGGACACAGACAAAGACACAGGGGAAGGAAGAGAATGAAAATGAGCTCTGCGGGTCACAGAACAGGACTGTTGACCCTTCTTCCCAAGGTCACCCAGACTGATTGATTGTGAAGATCTTTTGGAAAAAGGCATCAGAAATTTATGTGAATCTTTTAAAATAAATGAGAGATGAATTTAAGATAAATAGCACCTAATGAGAGAATGATTAGGAAATCCCTTTGAGAAAAATAAGAAACTATATAAGTGTAAAAATCAAACTAAACCCACATAAAGGGAGGTTAGAGGGTAGGCGGGGCACAGGCCAGGGGAAGGCTTAGATCATGAGATTTGCTCAGGTGAGGGCTTGTGTCCCACTAGAGGGGTTTGGGACATTCTGGGGAGAGGCAGCCAGGTTCCCTCCCCATCACATATACACACACACCTTGCACAAGCAGACGGGAGCACTGTGGCCTTGACTGATCTCTAGGAAATGCCTTGGCACCACCAGGAAAGACTTCTAGGTTCCTTTTAGGGAAGTGGGGGGATAGGTAGAGAGGGAGGAAGAACTGGGGGCCAGTGGCCTTGGGTATGGAGGCATTAACTGCCTGTTGGGCCCCAGGGGGCCCCAGTAGGAGGCCTTGATCAAACAGTCATGAGGCCTGTTGGCCCACCTAGCGAGACTAAGACATCAGCCTGCTGGCATCTTACCAGTGAGAGTACTCACCAAGGGGGAGTGAGGGCTGGATTGGTGGGTATGGGGTGCCCAAGACTCCAGGTGACAGCCCATCAGGAGGGACCCTGAATATCTTTTGGACTTGGGCTCTGGTCTCTGGCCTACTCAAAACTGCATATGGAATTCATATCTATTTCTTAATAGAAATTACTAGGTAAAGGGTATTTAGTGTTCTGGGAAACCAAAAAGGGGATCCTGAGATCTAGGGACACTGGATGGCTGACAAAAAGTACCCCCAAACTTAGCACCAGCTGAGCCAACAAGTGATCACAGCCATCTGGCACAGAGCAGAGATGAAAATCAATGGCCTACAGACATATTTTACTTGGCCCATACAATAGTTTTAAAATTTTGAAATCAGTTGCCAACACTAAAAAGTCAGAAAAGTTTCCGTTAAAAACTGGCTACCAGTTTCTTTTTTAAACATCTGACAATACTGGGCCCCCATCCCCATGGCAGAGACATTAAGCCTTGAGAAGTGGCATAGCTCTTCCCATCACCATGGTCCCCACTCCTCCCTGTTGGGTCTCCAACCCTGACACTAGGGGTCAGCTCCCAAATGGGACTGAGCTTGCCCTGTTGTCCCTCTTGTAATAGTTATGAGTAAAATACACTATTTCTAATACCCATCAAA